GTTCAGTCACGCATCATTATATACGTTAACGCAACCGCTGAACGGTGAACCGCGGAATCCGTTTATGCAACTTTTCCTGTCGAAATCGCGGACCAGTTGCAGCCTATTCTGATTATTTACGACTTCGCGCGTACTGGTTAAACTTGTGAAAGGTGCAACAGGTCCGATCGAAAGCCGAGTACTCGCGTTTTCCTTCGTACGACGTTCTAATTGCAATTCAACGAGGTCTATATTCGTACTTCTGTCTGTTTTTTTTTTTATTTAGTCTTGTCACGTTCAAAGTATCTGAGATTGATGAGAGATTAAACGTAATGGAAAACACGATAACGTATGTATGGGCCAGGTACACGTATTGCATATAGAACGTGCCTGATAAGATTTGATTTGATGAGGCAAGACAAATATTATGTTGAAAATTTGAACAAATGTAGATCTTAACGAAAGGCTAATTTGATGGCTATTAATACCATGAAGGCCGATACATGTAATTTAATATAAAAGGTACCTAAAGGAGACTATCCCACATAACACAGAGAATTCAAAAAGAATTCAGTCGCATGTCATTAATTCTGAGTTTATTTTTGGAAAAGAATTTTTCAGAGTTTAGTTCAGTGAAAAGAATTCTTTTTGCAATAATGAACTCAGAATTGGTGACATATAATTGAATTCTTTTTGAATTCTCTGTGCTATCTGGGATCTATAATAGGATTGGCAGTAGGCAGTAAAACGCAGGCAGTAAGCAAATTGATCAACCACAGTCGATTATTATAAAAATTGACTGCTTGATTTACTTACTGCTTACTGTCAATCTCATTATAGATGGATTTTAGGCGATTGTCGAGACGTTACTGCAAATTATCGCGTTATTTATAGTTACTCAACAGAATATAAGCCATAGATGTGGTCGATCGTGGCGCTCATGTATTGCTCTTTTTCTTCCGAAAGTACGAGTTTTTATACACACTAGTTGAAACGAATTCGCAGCCTTTTTACTTACGGATCGAAATACCGCACAGAGCACTTGCACCACGGAGTATCACGCGCGATACATATATCTCGCACGAAGATGGAGAACAAAGTGACTAAGCAGAGTATTAAACGGACATTAAAGAAACAAGAGATACAAGGTTGATACTGATAACGAGGTCGTCTACCATATTTACTCGCACAAGATGTAGATACTGGCCAGAAATGCCGAGTGACCGATAGTGACCTTCGATTCCTTTTACATGTCCGTTTCGTTCTCCGCGCGATCGCGGCTTCTGTTCGCGTAATGTTTCGAATATAGTCTTCGTAGGACTGGAAAGCATCCTCACAAGAAAACGGATATCTCGATAAAGCGATGTAATTGAAGTTACAGGTAGTAACTGAAGACTGAAGCGAGAGGTGTTTGTTTCTTAAAGTAAGATATGTAATATTTTTTTTACTAATTAAAATACAAATTTTTTACAATTGTTATCGCATATTAATCACATGGAGATGTCTGTTTCTGTGTAATTCTCGCTCGTTTGGCACATCTATTAGAAACGGAACATTCTATCAGTTACGCAATAATATCTATCGAGAAAACTTAAAGTAGTACAAGGCAGCGTCATGTTGCCGTCGGACATTGAACAGAATGAGCGTCCGACGAGAAATTTCGGATGAATGTTCTTTGTCCAAAAAATCTCTTAAATTGTGTACACTAGTGCAAGAAGTTCGAGTGAAACCAATATATTTTTTGTTCCATTCTGACTTATTGCACCAGTTGAGAAAGTTCTTCGAGGAAAAATAGGGCTTTTGTAACTTCAAAAAAAAGTAAGTCCTTTCTTTTTCGAGGAATTTCTCGAACTAATGTATACTGATGCAGTAAGTCAGAATGGGATATACTTGTTTGACCCTAACTTACCGCACTAGTGTGCACTGGTTGAAGAACTTCAGAGAAAAACGGCCTAGCGTATCCTTCTCTCCGATTCCCATTTGTTTTTGTACAACATATACAGCTGCATCGCCGCCCTCGCATCCTCCACGGAGTTGTGCTCGCCTGCTTGTATCTCCTGGCCTAACAATTCGCACGTGAGTCTCTTCAAGCTGGGAGTATTGCCTTTCGATAACTGTCGAAAGGGTTTGTATCTTGAAGTGTCACGTAAGTATCTACGCGGGTGAGACAGATACAACACGTCAAGATCGTGCTTCAACGCGTGGCCCACCAGAAGACGACCCTTCAACATATCCGCCACTTCCTTCTGTACGACGTTAAAGTCTTCCCCGTTCAGCAAGTGTTCCGGCCGAATACCGCTGACAGACGTTCTATAATCTACCACCAACTCCCTTGGCTTGACGTACTTATCGTACAGGCAATCACCATATTTATTTACAATCGACACTCGAGCTACCATACTCTCTGTGCCATCGCCAATCCCAACCATTTCACAGTCTATAGCAATCTGTTTCGTCAAAGTGTTATATTGCCTGTTCTTCTTGGCACTGTGCTTCTTGCTGTCAGGATTTACCAAATCCTGTAATCAATAAGTATATGTAGAAGTGTAAAAAAAAATAGATGTATATTAATAAGCCAATAAGTATATTTTAAGTATACAAGTATATTGTTGTATCTTCAATATACAAATATATTTTAAATATGTAACAAATATACAAATACATTGCACATGTACAAGTTACTTCAAATAGGATCGTAGTATCTTGAATACTTACCGTATGATGTGATGTGGCGTACATTTTTAAAGACTTTGGATGCCTCCTAGTTTGTGAAGTATTATTTCCCTCGTTACTCTTTCTTTCTGTCTTTGGCTTGGAAATTAAGTTCTTATACATATTCCAGTTGGATCCAGATGCTTTACGTTCTGTGTTTGTGACTATGTGTTTTGCAGTCTTGTTACTCCTCTCCATAGCATGTAATCCACTATAATGCCTAGAAATGATGTTACTTTTCTGATCACTGAATTTCTCCTTGATAAACATTGATGATGAGAATTTATGACATCACATTGACTTCAGATAATAAGATACACTTACGTGGAGATTTTAACCTAACTTCCCAAGTAATATTACCTAACCTCGTGTCTAATGTTTTATACCTATTTGCTTGTAATACGTATATTTTACATTAGACATATAAATTATATGTACAATTAACAATTAATCTCGAAAAGAATTCTTTTTTTTTTAGTAAACACGTCTGAGATTAACATAACCAATAACAACAACTGCTTGGTTAAGATGCGTGCAGCAGCAATAAAGCTTCTGTTTGTTAAAACTTTAACAGTATCGACGATTATAACTTCATATACGATAGCAATTTAATTTATAGTCCAAAACTTTCTTAATTTTCTTAATTTTCACTACTTCGCACGTTAAGTATGATGGCGTGCTTTCCATTACGTTCACGTGTAATTTTAAATTCGGCCAATCTACGAGCGATAACTTTGCCACCTCAGAGAGATTCGAACGATCTAAAAGATCTAAGTGACTCAAGTTTATTTATGAATTTCGACTTAAAGTAAACATTATAATTCGTACACAACGAAAAAAACGACGGAACATATCGCTCTTATATAAAAGATACACAGATAATTTCGTATTCTATGGAGCTGCATACAATTTTATTTCATTTTAAAGGCAAAAATGCAAATTAGTTCAGCAGAATAGCAGCTTTTAGTATACAAAACGAAAGTGTGCTTATAGAATGTAACGGTAACAAAATTCGAACTTAATTTGAGGTTAGTTTACTCTGACAACCTAAAGCACTGACTGAAAACTTGGCAAGTTTTGATTCCTACCTATATAGTATCCAAATGATAAAACATGTCGCGATGATCAAAGAAAAAAACATAATTATCCCATGCAACACCAATTTTATCGGCTGCGTAAATCCACTTTCAAAAACACTAGTTGCTTTCGGTCATTTGGCGAGCAGAAATATCCCTTTGCTTGACTTTCTTTTTGGAATTTTCCAATTTCAAATTTTTATGATACTTGTTCTTCTTTTACGTGCTCGTACTTTTTGCACCTTTCCATAATCATTCAGAATAAAATAAATACAAATAAAAAGAACGGATCTAAAATTTGTACATATCTTTTCATTTTCATTGTGTACTTGAAGTTCATTTTCATTGTGTACTTGAAGTTCATTTTCTTGTTGTATTGTAATATATTATTTTTACGATGAAATAGAAATAAATATACATCTTGATATTGCGATAGGACGGGAAATAAAAAAAAATTTAAAAGAAAGCACAAAAGAAAGCGAAAACAAATACAACAGATGTTCTGTATCGTTACAGAAAATACAAATTTCCCGCCGAGAGTAGTAGCTGGTGTGAGACTGTTGCGATACGTCGAGAGATGTCGCGGCGAGCGCGCACTCGTTTATACAAAGCCGTGTTATCTTCAAACGTCTTGACGCATGCTATGCGCGCTGGTTCGCTTGAAAGACTGCGATTTTTCTAACAATTTACGATAACATGAACGATGAATGCAGCACGACGACCAAGGAGACGTTCCAGGAACCGCGGAAGAGGTTCTGGCTGGTGAGTCTCGTTGTATTTTTCGATATTACGCGCGCTGACGCCTCACGCAGTTAGTAATCGTCGTAACCGACATTCGAATGTCAATGTCATTAATGTCAGCGAAACCGTACGCCTCTTTTTCGTCGGAATTTACGTTGTATTATTGTCACACACGTCTCAGCATCGGTACTCGTTTGAGCATTATTCCTCGCTTTGTATACCAAGCGATGGTTTTTTTGTCAGAAATAATGCTCGAACGTTATTTTCGTATTGTTCACTCAGAGATCGAGGAAACGACCAAAGAGCGACGCAATGAGCATTAGCTCGATGGACACGTCCATGGACTCCTATGTGGGGAACAAGAAGAAGCGACCCAGGATTACGGAGTTTGCCAGCCAAATATTTCAGTCATCGACTGCATTGAGCAAACTGGACAACGCTATGCACAGGTCCTTCACTATTCCACCAAACTCGTCGGACCTGTCGATCAACGAGGATGAAGCTGATACTGGGGTGTTGCGTAAAAAGTATGTACAACGTGAAACTCTCTACAAGTCTCTACAGCCATCAATTATGAAACTTATCATGTACTCAATCTTATCAATCATGTGATTCTTCTTGGTATGATATCATAAAAGTGCATAATTTTGCAATATTTGATGATTATAAATTTCCTCTGATATAAAAAGTGAACATTTTCATATGTATGTAATTTCTCTTTTTGGTATGATATCATAAAAAGTGCATAATTTTGCAATACTTGGAGGTGATTATGAATTTCCTATAATATAAACCTATAAAAATGAACACTTTTATATATATACAAGATTAGATTTTTCATATTTTATTAGTTCACATCAGAGAAGAAGATTTATAATTGATCCTTTGTTCTGTTTTGAAGAACTTCCTGAATTAGTGTACACTGGTGCAATAAGTGAAACAAAATATATTTGCTTTATTCTAAAACTTATTGTACCAGTATATATTAATTCTGAAAGTTCTTTGAAAAAGAACCAATCTTATATCTTATTTATTTATAAAGTTTCTTCTAAGCAGTCCTGGTTATATGTTTTCTCTCATCATTTTAGATTGAAGAATGCTACTACAAGCTGTAACAATTTGACAATTAGAAGCTGGTTGTTGGATGTTGCACACACACAGAGTAAAGAATGGTTGAACAATGTACTAAGTCGAAGCGAAGTCAAGAGGCAAGAGGCAATTTACGAATTGTACTGTGGCGAAAATGTGTTGCTAAATGATCTCTATGTGTTGAGAGACTTCTATTATGAACCAATGTTGTCTACTGGTATCTGCACATCCGAAGAGTTATCCACCCTTTTTGGTGATATCACAACTCTCATCCAAATACACAGTAGCTTGAGGGACGAGTTGCTCAAAGCGCGGGATAGAAGTGGATTCACAAAGGCTGTAGGTCCAATAATACTAAAATGGGTGAGTCGCTCTTTTTATGGGTGTATTTTAATGTCATGTGTGTGCAATATTAATTCTAATTGTTCCTGCAGTTATCGACACTGAAGAAACCATATCTGGAAAGATGCAGGACGTTGGTATGGGCGAGACATTTATTGGACGAGAAAAGATTCGGCAATAAGCGATTTCAATCATTCTTGAAAAAGCGCCTGGAGTCGCCGCGTTCCATCGACCTGTGGACTTATCTGGATGTGCCACGTTCGAGAATCGTTAAGTATCCATTGCTAGTGAAGGAGATTTTGAAACATACTCCCGTCACAGATGCAGATCACTCGCTGCTGAAAGAAGCAGGCGACGTATTGTCTGATTTGCTGCGGGATATTGACCGCACAATGGGTGACGCTGAGTGCAAGCTCGCTCAGTCGAAAATAAACGCAAAGATCGAGCACGATCCGGACAAGTGCATTGCTAGTGCTACAGAATTGATCACGAAAGGTCCACTCAAGGATGCACGCGGAATAGTAAGCCTCTCTCGATTTTTCTCTTAATGTTCTGTTAAATATATGTATTACATATTAATATTTTTTTCCAGAAATATTATTGTTTTCTCTTCAATACTTGTTTCGCGATAACTCGTGCCACACGAAGGCTCAGCAAGAAGTACAATCTCTTCTTACCCGTCATACCCAGAGATCAGATAGATCCGCAAACGGATGATAAAAATATCGCGGAAATCGGTTTCAAGATCGGCGAGCATTTCTTCATAACGGAGGACGAGCACAAGAAGAGGCACTGGGTAGATTCCTTCGACAAGATGCGTCACAGGAAAATGTCGGACAATGTCCTCAACGCTCATGACAAGGAAAATTTACCGAGTGCGGAATTACCAGAATCGAATTACGTCACAAGGGAATCAACCTCCTCGAGCAGTATTAACGACAATTATTTCTCTGTTTTCATAAAAAAAAATCTACTTAAGCAGAAGCGCAACAGTATCGGTTATATATTTTGAGAACGTCATGTTGCAATTTTCCCTTGCGATTGTTATTCACTATAATATGCTTTAAATGTATGTAACATATATGTACAAATATTGCTATAATTAGCAACTGCGAGTTGTGCTTTACGAAATTCGGTATTTTATATTTATAATTATATGCGTCTATTTTGTACTTGCATATATCTAAGAGGTAAGTGGAATTTATAAAAATTTCCTAATAAATTATGAGGGAAGAAGATTTATATATATATACAAGGTAAAATAATGATAAGCGAATAATTAATGATACAATTGTCGAAATAAGCTATTAGATTAACACTTCAGAAATGAAATATATGTTATTCTCGCGACATAATATATACGTTGACATAAATTGGTGTTTGAAGAAGTACTATTACATTCGATAGAATAAATCTAAAATGTCAAAGTGTCTTTTTACGATGAAATGCGACTTTCATGTTTTTATTGAAACAAATTTCTCATTTATAGATAAAAGATTTTAAATAAATTGTGACAACACAATAACGTTCGGAAGACCGATTGTTTTCACGAATTTGTTTGTGGATTTTTATTAAATGTGTGCAATTCACTGTAAGTTAAAAGATTAAACGCGTAAAAATGGTTTTCTCTATTTTTTTAAGAAATCAAGAAATTTGATTAAAAAATTGTTGATATATTTTATTCTTCCTAAGAACAAGTTTTACAAGATTCATTTCTTTAAATCTTCAACAAAGTGGCTGATTTTAGCCAATAGTGTCATTCGAACTTTCGATTTTCGATATTTTTACGGTTTAGTCGGTTTCATTGCGTTTCCATCGGGGTAACGTTTCTTAAAGGCTTTGATCAGTTGCGGGTCGATCAGATGGACGCCATCTACTTGATTACCTAAAGTGATCCAATTTGGCTGCACATTGTGCGGCCGACCAAACAGTTCAATCTTCCTCGTACCGGGACTCATGCGTTCGATGATGCCATAAATCTCGTCGGGTTTATGGCTGGTAGCGCGCACTTCTGCAACAATTACATCGCTGTCCAGACCTCGATTGATGCGAGGATTACCTTTCATGCCGACTAGGCAGTGTTCCTTGCCGTGGTTCAGCCAATGGCCGGTTCTACCCGTACGTATTATTCTCTGCAATTGATTAGTCTTCACCCAGATGATCTCGTCGACCCTCTCATAGCCCCATAACTGCAAACACTCTCTACCCAACTCCATAGCTCTACCAGTTACCCACAAGAATAGAAGTCCTTCATCCTGAAGTGCTGGGATACCTAACTGTCTCATTTCGTCGTCCGACATGGTGCCGTAAGGCAGTTCCATGTGAATGTCCCATGGTGGGTCGGCCATGATCACGGCGAACTTGCCAAGTACTGTCATATCCAAGTAACGTAGGTCGCACTGGATCCATTGCGGTGGATACAAAGTCAGCTCGCTTCCGACGTTACTGCTGGTGCCGCTGCCGTTTTTACTATCTAGACTCAATGTTTTATTAGTCGTGGTGTTGCTGGGGCTGTCCGAGTCGTTGGTTTCCTTTGGCTGTGCTGTAGGGCCATCCACCTCGTAATGGACATATCTATATCAAAAACAGAGTTTATTTGAGAGATATGATAAAAAGAAACGCGCATTTCATGCGTATAATTTCAGAGAGCGCAAGATCACGTTCTCTAAATAGACTTGTGCAGGCCTGGAAAAGTTCTTACTTGCACGTGTCCATGTGGAAGCAGGTGTTGAGAAAACTGCAATCGCCCAATGATTCATCCGTATGGCTCTGTATGATCTTTTTGAAGTGTAGCTTTTTGCACTTCTCCGCGAATCCCGGGCCGCCGTTCAGCTTCATGCAATCCACCCGCGTACCGTGTGGGCAGAACTCCATGACTTGGGCGCCGCCTTGGGAGCGAAAACGCTCTGCTAGCGATTTCTCTTTGGAGGTCTGCTTGGACAGTAGATCCAGAATCTGCTCGCCGACCTTTTTGCTCTCCTTCTCTCGAATCGTCGGCATTGAGATCAAGGACATGATGTCCTCAGTATTTTTCTTTTCTATCTTTGCTTGCTTCTCCGCTAGCATGTAGTCATTCAATTCGGACGCGGAAGTCTCAGTGCTCTCCGCGTTTTCCGTGTCGTCAGACTGTGACTGATACGATGATTGGGATTCTGTGAAGGAGAGTACTGTGTATCCAAATATCCCATTCTCCGTGACTTCTTTGATCCTAAGGGTAAATGCTATTTATTTACTTATGCTTGATACATTGCAATGAAGCAAAATGAAGTTCTACAGTATGTCACAATATATCATGGAAACTCACTAACTTAACTATATCCTGTGCAGCAAGTTTCTCCAGAATCTTGTGGATGTCTGAGGAGGACACATCTGCATTTAAATTTTTGCGCAGTTGATCTATCAGATCAGCAGATGTGATTGGCAAATTCGGCAGAGATTCGTGCAAGATGCAGAGTATGTCTCTCTCATATTCATTATGATCAGAGCGCAGTGATGTGTTAGAATCTGCAATATATATTAGAGTTAAGAATGAGTTAATTCATGTCAATTAGAATCTGCAATATACATTAGAGTTAAGAATGAGTTACTTCACAAAATCTGTCTTTCTCACTCTTAACTAATACATAAAATCATTAATTTTTCACATCATGTAAAGTAATTCATTTTTTACTTCATGTGACATGAAGTAATATATTTTTAACTAATTTACAAGTGTGTTTGAGCAAAAATGTTTCATAATACATTTGATACCAGGATCTGTTGATTCTGTGAGGGTGGATGGCACCGGCGTGGAAGTGAGAGTGAACAATTCATGTCTCTCTCGTTTTCTTTTCTGCAGTTTCTCACGAAGGCTGTTTCTCTTTATTTTGATCGCTTGTATCTCCTCAAAAGCGTCTGACATGGTTCATCTGTTAGTCTCCAAATAAAAATTATCCTAAATATAACAAGTCACTTGTTTATAAATTTGTCAAATTTACTTGATATCAAGTTAAAGCTAATAAATCAAGTTAAAGCTAATTTTATTGTCTATTTGAAAAGAGAATTAATGACTTAATAAACAATTAATAATTGATTTTATATAAAATCATACACATCAAATAGATTGTTGTAAATTATCGTTGTCAAGTCTCGAGTTTAATTTAACCTAATCCTATTCCTAACCTAAATGCATTCTTGCCTGTTTTAATTTTAACTCACCTTGTAATGTTCACATTATAATATATACGAAATACATTAAATCACTATTGAAAACAGTCCTTCTTCTTTTTAGATTATATATATTCTATATTTCATACATATCTAATATTTCTTCTAAAAATAAAATAATCGCTTCACTTGTCATTAAATCATACTACTGGAAAAATCCGCCTAACTTATCGTTGACTTATACTACGACTCATCTATAGAGAATCTTCAGTCCCGATCTACAATAGGTGTAGTAAGCTTCAAGCTGTAAGAAATTAACCAATCACGATTGATTATTTTTCTATACTTCGACTATGATTGGTCAATTTCTTAAAACTTAAAACTTACTACACCTATTGTAGATCGGGACTCAAGAGCCGCGTTCTAAAATTTTATTCGGTGGGTAGAGTACATTTAATTGACCAATCATGATAAGGAAATCCTAATTATCTTTGTTCTTATTGGTCAATTAAATGCTACTCTTCCTGTCGAATAGAGTTTTGGAACGCAGCCAAGAAAAATAGAGGTCCTAGAAGTAAGAGATTGGCCAAGATTCACAGACTTCTATGCTGAAATTCTATGGTTGCTTTCTAATAAAAGACACAAGTTGACACAAACATCATTCTATCTTTGTTTCACATTTAGTGAGTAACAAAGATAGGGTAATACTTGTGTCTCTTGTTGGAAAGCAACCTATAGTATACGTGACATGAACTATAGATTTTCAGTACTGGCAATGAATTTCGGAACGCAACCATTCACTATCAGTACTGAAAATCTATAGTTTATGTCACGTAACTATAGAATTTCAGCACTGGCAGTGAATTTCGGAACGCAACCTGAATTATCTAAGCACCTAGCGTTACCTCAGCCACACAGCGTAAAGAATGATCAGTTGTGAGAAGTTCCGGTTTAATGGTTATATCGCAAGAATTTTCCACGTGAGATCCCTAGTTCTTGCCCTTATATTTAAAACATTCAATTAAAATGGCGAATATCAAGGAATTTTTTCTAACCGGCATACAACGTATATTCAGCAATTGGACGGCATTAAGGGTGAGTCTTCACATTCTCTTTGATTTTACGTTAACCTCAAACATAGGTTATATTGTTTTTCATGCTGTGCAAGCATAGCATAACTAAATGTGTAAATCTTACGCTACAATTGTCTTTCGTTCATTTTCAGTTGACAGTAGAACATGGCATGGGTTCTAAAGATAGCGCCGTAGAATTTTGCACATATATGACGGAAGTGCTGTCTATGAATGGTATATTCTCGTTATTTCTGATTTAACACAAAAAGTAAAGTACTATTATAAGTTTTAATTAACACTCGAATAATTTAATTAGTCTAAATTGTAAGTTAATTGCAAAAATAAGATACTACAATATCTTATATTGTGATGATTATCATGATGCATTATGTTTTTCAAGATGACTTATCCACAAGTGAGGTTGTTACTGTACTCGAAGATTACATGGCTGAATGCTTCAATACAGAGATGGAGGATGGCAGTGCAGCAGAAGTAGCAGAAATATTAGTGAAATTTTATCGATACTGCACAGAGAATGAAGAGTCTACAGTGAAAACAGAACTTGAGAAGTTACCACCGTTACAGCCCTGGCTTCTGTTCTCACAACCGGTTCAGCAGAACTGTTCAGCAGTGAGCTGCGATGACAGCAGGAGTCCCAATGAAAATGTGGATACTGATGAGATGGACACGAATGAGGATGAGGAAGGATGGACGACGGTCAGAAGGAGATAGCTCGCAATGTTTTGTACAAACAATATCTTTACTTAGCAATTTCTTTTTATAAAAGAGTGGAAAGACGCGGGGCGGGAAATAGAGAGACAGGCGCATATGTTATTGTAACATAATACGCACGCATACTTTTCACAGTCATACAACTTCTGACGCTAGAATTACCTACAGGAATATTTTTACCTAAGCAGCCTCTTCGAGTATTGCTAAATGTCATTTAGCAAGCGTGTCTTCTGTATCTGCAAATTAAAAAAGAACATTTCGTCAATAGAGCGCCTTGAACATGGAACTTTATTGGAACTTTATTGAAACTTTGCCAAGAAGGTAATGAGAAAACAAGAAGGATAAGAAGATAAAATAAGTGGAGGGAAAATTCTGCTAAGAAGATCTTACAGTTCTGAACATATTACCTTTCCCATTCTGGGACAAACGGACGGTATAGTAGCCGTTGTGATATTGCATACTCTGATCCTTCTCCGGCCCGTTCTGCTTTCTCTCACCAGGCCCTGCTAAACTCAATATTACCGGCAAGAATAGCAATCCGTGAAACAAGCCGAACAACACCACAGACGAGAACAGCTGAAAGAAATACGAAGAGAATCAACACGTCTGTCTCATCGAAGACAATAATATTAGTATAAGCTTAACACTTTCGGTTCCATACTCTGAAGAAAGTCTTGAAGACGTAAGCCTGACTGAAGCCCAGCAGCACGAAGGCGAGAAACGTGCTTAAGCCACCGTTGAGAACGGCTGGCCCGATGATACTAAGCGTCGTCACTGCTCGTTCTATAAACACGAGATAAGAAATACCAGCAGAGTTCAACTTCGACAGGTGCATCGTTGAACGTGTCGTGGTATTCCCCGTGAGGAATCAAATCGCGAGATTGTTAGGAACTCTAAGTGGTAAATGTTTCCTTTATGATAAGTCTCAATGTTATCATTGTTACGATAAAAAAAATGCGAGATCCTTGTAATTTAATTCTTGTCATTCGCGGCAGCGCACCTTGTTTAGTGCCGCTCGAGCGTATGAACTCCAAGCCGATGTGCGCGGCGTAGTCGACCGCCAGCCCGGCACACAGCAAGACCATGATAGTCGATGAGATATCGATGGTCAGGCCCATGAAGTACATTGAGCCCAGGAGGTCGACGAGCGTGAACAACACGCAGCACATCACCCAGAAGGAGGCGCGTAAATTCCTCAGCAGCACGAGTGTCACTATGCCGACTGCTACGATCTCTAGGCTCAGGTTTCTGATTAACTCCTCGCCGATGATCTGTAAAAACCACAGATCGCGTGAGCGAGGTCCTGGAGAAAGATTCCCTGTCGTCACCAAGTTCACCAGCTCGTTCACCTTGTTTGACGCCCACGTCACATAGTCTAACGAGTGAATCGCGATGTAGTCGTGCCCCCGGCTGAAGTTCAACGACATCACGGCGTCACGGACCGACTGCATGGCTCGTATCTGATCGGATGTCGTGCTCAGAGGAATGTGCTGCATTGGAATCTGCGACGTCTGAAATTGTACGCGATGGGTGAGTAGATAAAGACGTCTCTCACTCGTGAAGCGTCAAACGTACTTGCATCTCGCGTTGATACACACCGTGATGTTGTAGTCGTTGAATGGAAGTTTGTCAAATTTAATGTTCTGGATGTACGTTTGGCCCTCCATAGTTAGTAGCAGATATTCCGTGAGCACATTGTAATATTCGTCTTTGTCTTCGATATAACTTGCTGTGATGGAAAGAACGCAGTAAGTTATTTCAACAGATGGTACATTTAACGCGAGAAGGAGTGCGTGTGGATCGAGCCGAGGCAAGATCCTTAATCAAAATTGATTAAAATTTTTTATCAGAGTTTCTGCAGTCGCATTGTTAAGCTCGCATCAAACTAGATATTGACAAAACGCAAGCCAATATCACAGTTAATTGACTCGTTGAGATTTAATCTTTAATTTGTCACTTTTGCGCAAAAAAAAAAACAATATGATTGATCTATACGTAAACCTGATTTGTGTCAATCAAATTAAATATCGAAATACGGAACAACTAATCATGTGGTTGCTGCAACCACAGAGCAATTGCTGGGTGCAATTGTTGACATTGCAGCAGTGACGATATCCAATTGCTCCAACCAGAGTATAACCATAATAAATACCACATACTACTGTGTCCAAAAAGTAAGACCAATTTAAAATTTTTTTTTTAAATCTTTATTTATTCCAAATCTATTTCGTCGCCTTCAAAGTAATCCCCCTCAGACACAATACACTTATGCCAACGTTTTTTCCAACCCTCGAAACAGTTGTTAAAGTCGATTTCCGGAATGGCCTTCAAAGCTTTCTTCGATTCAGCTTGTATCTCTTCAATCGAGTCAAAACGGTGTCCCCGGAGCGGTATTTTGAGTTTAGGGAATAGCCAGAAGTCACACGGTGCTAAATCAGGTGAATATGATGGTTGTGGAACAATATGGGTCGAGAATTTTTAGCGAAATGGTCTCGAAGAACCAATGCAGTGTGAGATGGCGCATTATCGTGGTGCAAAAACCAAGAGTTGACTTTCCACAATTCCGGCCTCTTTTCGCGAATAGCTTCAGGCAAACGACGCATAATTTGACACAGATGTCTGTCACAGTGCTACCAATTTAGAAAAAAAATATTTCTGACATTCGATGATATTTCTGATCCGCGCAATTTAATTTGAAAATTGGTTTTACTTTTTGGACGCAGTAGTAAAACGATTTCTGATCAGTATAACCAGATTACGCACGACTACATTGATATAGTTGATGTACCAAAATAACTGAGTCGTATCAACCATATATATTACATACAAAAATAACTAGGGTGGTATACCAGGATGACGCAACTAAGTTGCTCACAACTAAATATTATGTGCATCATATTTTTTTCCGTGCGAGCTGTATGCGTCGTGCGATTCGCTTACCTTTACCGGAATTGTTCAGCCATTTCTCGTACGCGACGAACCACGGGTTGAGGGTACGATTGTTCACGTACGGGTTGCGCTTGAGAGCGTCCACCAGCTGAAACAGCGTCTGACGGTCCTCGTAGTAGTCCACGCCGGTCAGGTAGATGTTGACGTGCTTACCGATGTTGAAGTGCTCCTTCAGCTTGTTGTTGAATCGAATCGGGTAGGATTCCTGGTTTAAGTACATGAACGGATCGAAACTCTGCTCCACCTGGAAGATCGCCCATATGTTGACGCACAGCAGAGCGGCGGTGACCAGCAAAACGATCGTCTTCACCCACGTCCTCGTCACGCACGGCCCGACGTACTTCTCGAACATGATGCGCTGAAAGTCCCGTCTGCTGCACTCGTTCGCCCGCCAGTCGGGCCGCTGCGGCCGGAAGCAGCAGCCGTCCTTCTTCGCGGCCAGCCTCCTCTCGTCGTACACCAGGCAGCTGACGAAGAACATGATCTCGTAGACATAGAGGAACAGTATACCCGTGGCCGCGAACATGCAGAAGGACTTGAGGAACGGCATCACCGTGGTCATGCCGATGCCGAAGGCCACCATGTTGGTGAAAGACGTCACGGTGATGGACATACCTGCGAATATGAGTCAAATTGAAGCGCACACATATGAACGCGCACGTACACGCGCGAATTCCGGCCTTAATTTAATGACAGTTCCTATTAGCACGCTTCTCGCGCGAATGCGTCGCGCATGGAACGTACGAATTTTCCCATATTTTTAGTTCGTTCCCGCGTGATTCTCGTCAAAAGGTTCACGTAGGCAACGCGACTTTAGGCAACGGCGGCGCAACGTTATTTCTGTCCGGTTCGACGGCGAGCTCTGCCAAGGGATGCGCGCGTGATCGCACCTGACACTTGAATGGCTTTCGCGATGCGCACGGCTATGTCCGAAGACTTGTCCTCCGCCGACATCGTCTCGAGGCTCTGCATGATGACGAACATGTCGTCGACGCCGATGCCGAGCAGCAGGAATGGCAGAATCGGGTGCACCGGGCCGTAAAAGAATCCCATGTAGTAGCACAGACCGTAGGACGATAGTAGGGCCTGACCGACCACGGAGATGCCCATGAGTGACAGGTAGATCCGCTGCTGCATCGCGTTGCACCGGCCGATCATCACGATCACGTAGATCGTGATCAGCGACATGCCGCAGAACAGCACGGTCATGTTGTTGTTGATCACCTGGTGCAGCATGTCGTCGTAGCTGCGCAACGTCACCGCGTAGATCTCCATCCCGGGCGGCAGAGTCCGATTCGAGTGCAGCACTCGTTTGATGAACTCCACCTCCCAGTCCGGCGAGTACGGATTCGACTTCTTCAGCAACCAGTACATGATCGTCGCCCGCGCGCCCTTCACCCAGCCGTTCTCGTCGTACTCGACGTCAGCCAACAGCGGCGCGACGTCCGACAGGATGTCTTTCGTGTGTCTGCCAATTGACAAGTTTTCATTATTATTCACATGAGACCTGACAATAGAAAGATTCGTGCGTATTTCACTAAAAGAGCTTTAGTTTTTTATTTGGGATACGATTACGAAGCGAACAAAAACAAAATCTATTAGTCGCTTCACCCACGTTACGGAGATGTGATTGCATCAAAATTGAGATTACGTTCAAATGAAGTTGATGTCAGGAAGACGTGATTGCACTGAAATGGATTTCTGGAAAGTTAAATTTCTTTTGCAAGATCATGCAAGGAAAAATTAAGAAATCAACTTTCTTATAAGGAAGATTAATTCATTATGTGCTGCAGAGCTCTTTCAATTTTATTCAAAGGACTTTTATGCGAAAAGCTGCTATACTTGATATCAGGCGACTCGATCGAATCAATTCTCAATTATGAAACGTGACAATAAAGAGATTCGTGCGTATTTCAGTAGAAGAGCTTTATTTTTTATTTGGGATACGATTACGAAGCGAACAAAAACAAAATCTATTAGTCGCTTCACCCACGTTACGGAGATGTGATTGCATCAAAATTGAGATTACGTTCAAATGAAGTTGATGTCAGGAAGACGTGATTGCACTGAAATGGATTTCTGGAAAGTTAAATTTCTTTTGCAAGATCATGCAAGGAAAAATTAAGAAATCAACTTTCTTATAAGGAAGATTAATTCATTATGTGCTGCAGAGCTCTTTCAATTTTATTCAAAGGACTTTTATGCGAAAAGCTGCTATACTTGATATCAGGCGACTCGATCGAATCAATTCTCAATTATGAAACGTGACAATAAAGAAATTCGTGCGTATTTCAGTAGAAGAGCTTTATTTTTTATTTGGGATACGATTACGAAGCGAACAAAAACAAAATCTATTAGTCGCTTCATCCAAGTTATAGAGATGTGATTACATCAAAATTGAGATTACGTTCAAATGAAGTTGATGTCAGGAAGACGTGATTGCACTGAAATGGATTTCTGGAAAGTTAAATTTCTTTTGCAAGATCATGCAAGGAAAAATTAAGAAATCAACTTTCTTATAAGGAAGATTAATTCATTATGTGCTGCAGAGCTCTTTCAATTTTATTCAAAGGACTTTTATGCGAAAAGCTGCTATACTTGATATCAGGCGACTCGATCGAATCAATTCTCAATTATGAAACGTGACAATAAAGAAATTCGTGCGTATTTCAGTAGAAGAGCTTTATTTTTTATTTGGGATACGATTACGAAGCGAACAAAAACAAAATCTATTAGTCGCTTCATCCAAGTTATAGAGATGTGATTACATCAAAATTGAGATTACGTTCAAATGAAGTTGATGTCAGGAAGACGTGATTGCACTGAAATGGATTTCTGGAAAGTTAAATTTCTTTTGCAAGATCATGCAAGGAAAAATTAAGAAATCAACTTTCTTATAAGGAAGATTAATTCATTATGTGCTGCAGAGCTCTTTCAATTTTATTCAAAAGACTTTTATGCGAAAAGCTGACTTGATATCAAGCGACTCGATCGAATCAATTCTCAATAAAAGATTTTCCTCACTCACTTGTTCCTCATAGCTACAGTTACATTCCACAGTATTTCTTTCGTCGTCAGCTGGTCGATATCCTTCATTCCGTCCTTCTGCCACAGCTTCAGAAGCGACTTATAAATACACGCATCCTTCGACATCGTGGCGTTTATAAACTCCAGATACTCCACGGGAAACTCGCTCTTGTCCATGGTTTCCCACGTGGCGTCCTGTTGGAACCATGTGAAGTGCCTGTAGGCATATATCGTTAAGTAGTTTTCGTGCCATATCATCGTCGTGTTTGCTTGGAAAAAAATACTTACCCAGCGCACACGTCTTCCCAAGTGTTATTGTGCACCACAATGCTCTTCACGTCTCTTTCGATATCTTTGATCTGCAATCAAGTGATCAATCATCATCACGCAACCGCGAGTGAGGAGAATAGATTCGTATAACGCGTCTCTATACACATGTATCGTCATTTACATACACAATGAAAGTAACTAGGATATTTATGTACAGTCGAGGTAACCAAAAAGTTACCCGTAATTTTTGGGGTGAGTTTGTGAACTCCCCGTTCAATTATTCAATTGAATAATTCGATTTCCAACGGGAGAATGCTGACGTTGGACAAGAAAAATGAGTTCACAAGCTCACTCCAAAAATTACGGACAACTTTTCAATCCCTGACTGTGCACGATATTATGATAAGTCGATCACACGTCCGATACTATAATCGCTGAACTTATAATGTCGTGCAATTAACATCGTTTTGAGGAAGAGGAGCGCGAAAAGATGAAATATGACGACCCAGATAGCAGGAACGTCTGAGGATTGTCCTTCAGGTGTCTGTGAGACGCTGCTACGAGTCTTTCGGATGTTTCTGCTTCCTAGGGATCGTCAAATCAAGTATCCTCGAGTATCTCTGAAAACGAGCGAGAAGAACGACAGCGAGGATCCATCTTAGACGAACGCTAGAACGCTTAGACGAACTAGGTTTAACTATTGCAGGGGAGAATTGCATTAATGTGGAAAAGAACCTTCGTTGATATTCGTATAATTCATGTTCGCCTATGTACCGATCGCAGTACTTCGGGATCCAACACGTTCGGGGCGGTGATGATGATACTCTCGTGCCTGAGATCGTCCCGGAAGTGCTCCTTCACCCAGGCGGCGTCCTTGCGGAACACGGAACCGATCGGCATGTACAGCTGGACCTCGTCGATCTCCTCCCTCCAGAGCAGCAGTCCGAAGCCGCAGATGACGTTCAGACACAACGATATTATCAGCCAAAGCCATGGCTTCGTAGCTATGCTGAGTCCGATTCTGAAAAATAAGAAGAGGCAGAAACACATAAGAACGGGCAAGAGACACACACACATACACATACATATGTATGTATGTATAAAGAAACAATAAATATAAAGTATATAAATATATAACATTAAGTATATAAATATATAACATTAAGGCTCCTTGTATCTCACCGCGACCATGTTGAATTTGTGCTCTCTTAAAGTGAATCAGTGAATAATCATCGATATTAGTTATGAGTATAGCACTGAGCACTTTCAGTGCTATACTTATAACTGCAAGTGTATATTCACGGTTTTCAGTGATGTTTGACTGATTTATTTTAAGAAAGTGACATCAAGGAACCTTAAAGGTCGTTCTACATTAGTTGCAAGTAGAGAATCTCTAGAAGAGAGAATCGCCAACATGGCCATGTGACCAGCTGATTGGCTGGCATAAACATGTACGGATTTGGACATTGCGACGCCAATGCAGAACAGATGGTTATTTCATATATACACATATGTATATATATATATATATATATATATATATATATATATATATATATAT